AACAAAATTTGCTATAAATCCATATAACTTTCCGTGTGATTTTGGAAAAATAAAATTTTCGCGAATTTTTAATTTTTTTATAAGGGGGTACCCCATGATTTTTTGCGAAAAATTAAAAATGAATAAATTGTCAAGGTTTAAATGCCAATCGTTAGGAAATTTAATAACGAGTTCAGAAAGGTATGACAATCCATACTTTGAATCAGTATTTACTTTGTTATAGCGAAAAAACGGGTTTTGGTTTTTTTTTTGGAAATTCGGGATTTCAGTTTTTGACAAAAATGGAATTTTTTCTTTTGGTTTTTTTGCTGTAACTTGGCCAAAAATCGTCCTACATCAAAAATACATACTGTTTTAAACAGATAACAAAATTTGCTATAAATCCATATAACTTTCCGTATGATTTTGGAAAAATAAAATTTTCGCCAATTTTTAATTTTTTTATAAGGGGGTACCCCATGATTTTTTGCGAAAAATTAAAAATGAATAAATTGTCAAGGTTTAAATGCCAATCGTTAGGAAATGTAATAACGAGTTCAGAAAGGTATGACAATCCATACTTTGAATCAGTATTTACTTTGTTATAGCGAAAAAACGGGTTTTGGTTTTTTTTTGAAAATTTAGGATTTCAGTTTTTGACAAAAATGGAATTTTTTCTTTTGGTTTTTTTGCTGTAACTTATGCAAAAATGGTCCTACACCAAAAATTCATACTGTTTTGAACAGATAACAAAATTTGCTATAAATCCATATAACTTTCCGTGTGATTTTGGAAAAATAAAATTTTCGCGAATTTTTAATTTTTTTATAAGGGGGTACCCCATGATTTTTTGCGAAAAATTAAAAATGAATAAATTGTCAAGGTTTAAATGCCAATCGTTAGGAAATTTAATAACGAGTTCAGAAAGGTATGACAATCCATACTTTGAATCAGTATTTACTTTGTTATAGCGAAAAAACGGGTTTTGGTTTTTTTTGAAAATTTAGGATTTCAGTTTTTGACAAAAATGGAATTTTTTCTTTTGGTTTTTTTGCTGTAACTTATGCAAAAATGGTCCTACACCAAAAATTCATACTGTTTTGAACAGATAACAAAATTTGCTATAAATCCATATAACTTTCCGTGTGATTTTGGAAAAATAAAATTTTCGCGAATTTTTAATTTTTTTATAAGGGGGTACCCCATGATTTTTTGCGAAAAATTAAAAATGAATAAATTGTCAAGGTTTAAATGCCAATCGTTAGGAAATTTAATAACGAGTTCAGAAAGGTATGACAATCCATACTTTGAATCAGTATTTACTTTGTTATAGCGAAAAAACGGGTTTTGGTTTTTTTTTTGGAAATTCGGGATTTCAGTTTTTGACAAAAATGGAATTTTTTCTTTTGGTTTTTTTGCTGTAACTTGGGCAAAAATGGTCCTACACCAAAAATACATACTGTTTTAAACAGATAACAAAATTTGCTATAAATCCATATAACTTTCCGTGTGATTTTGGAAAAATAAAATTTTCGCCAATTTTTAATTTTTTTATAAGGGGGTACCCCATGATTTTTTGCGAAAAATTAAAAATGAATAAATTGTCAAGGTTTAAATGCCAATCGTTAGGAAATTTAATAACGAGTTCAGAAAGGTATGACAATCCATACTTTGAATCAGTATTTACTTTGTTATAGCGAAAAAACGGGTTTTGGTTTTTTTTTGAAAATTTAGGATTTCAGTTTTTGACAAAAATGGAATTTTTTCTTTTGGTTTTTTTGCTGTAACTTATGCAAAAATGGTCCTACACCAAAAATTCATACTGTTTTGAACAGATAACAAAATTTGCTATAAATCCATATAACTTTCCGTGTGATTTTGGAAAAATAAAATTTTCGCGAATTTTTAATTTTTTTATAAGGGGGTACCCCATGATTTTTTGCGAAAAATTAAAAATGAATAAATTGTCAAGGTTTAAATGCCAATCGTTAGGAAATTTAATAACGAGTTCCGAAAGGTATGACAATCCATACTTTGAATCAGTATTTACTTTGTTATAGCGAAAAAACGGGTTTTGGTTTTTTTTTGAAAATTTAGGATTTCAGTTTTTGACAAAAATGGAATTTTTTCTTTTGGTTTTTTTGCTGTAACTTATGCAAAAATGGTCCTACACCAAAAATTCATACTGTTTTGAACAGATAACAAAATTTGCTATAAATCCATATAACTTTCCGTGTGATTTTGGAAAAATAAAATTTTCGCGAATTTTTAATTTTTTTATAAGGGGGTACCCCATGATTTTTTGCGAAAAATTAAAAATGAATAAATTGTCAAGGTTTAAATGCCAATCGTTAGGAAATTTAATAACGAGTTCAGAAAGGTATGACAATCCATACTTTGAATCAGTATTTACTTTGTTATAGCGAAAAAACGGGTTTTGGTTTTTTTTTGGAAATTCGGGATTTCAGTTTTTGACAAAAATGGAATTTTTTCTTTTGGTTTTTTTGCTGTAACTTGGGCAAAAATGGTCCTACACCAAAAATACATACTGTTTTAAACAGATAACAAAATTTGCTATAAATCCATATAACTTTCCGTGTGATTTTGGAAAAATAAAATTTTCGCGAATTTTTAATTTTTTTATAAGGGGGTACCCCATGATTTTTTGCGAAAAATTAAAAATGAATAAATTGTCAAGGTTTAAATGCCAATCGTTAGGAAATTTAATAACGAGTTCAGAAAGGTATGACAATCCATACTTTGAATCAGTATTTACTTTGTTATAGCGAAAAAACGGGTTTTGGTTTTTTTTTTGAAAATTTAGGATTTCAGTTTTTGACAAAAATGGAATTTTTTCTTTTGGTTTTTTTGCTGTAACTTATGCAAAAATGGTCCTACACCAAAAATTCATACTGTTTTGAACAGATAACAAAATTTGCTATAAATCCATATAACTTTCCGTGTGATTTTGGAAAAATAAAATTTTCGCGAATTTTTAATTTTTTTTATAAGGGGGTACCCCATGATTTTTTGCGAAAAATTAAAAATGAATAAATTGTCAAGGTTTAAATGCCAATCGTTAGGAAATTTAATAACGAGTTCCGAAAGGTATGACAATCCATACTTTGAATCAGTATTTACTTTGTTATAGCGAAAAAACGGGTTTTGGTTTTTTTTTGAAAATTTAGGATTTCAGTTTTTGACAAAAATGGAATTTTTTCTTTTGGTTTTTTTGCTGTAACTTATGCAAAAATGGTCCTACACCAAAAATTCATACTGTTTTGAACAGATAACAAAATGTGCAATAAATCCATATAACTTTCCGTGTGATTTTGGAAAAATAAAATTTTCGCCAATTTTTAATTTTTTTATAAGGGGGTACCCCATGATTTTTTGCGAAAAATTAAAAATGAATAAATTGTCAAGGTTTAAATGCCAATCGTTAGGAAATTTAATAACGAGTTCCGAAAGGTATGACAATCCATACTTTGAATCAGTATTTACTTTGTTATAGCGAAAAAACGGGTTTTGGTTTTTTTTTGAAAATTTAGGATTTCAGTTTTTGACAAAAATGGAATTTTTTCTTTTGGTTTTTTTGCTGTAACTTATGCAAAAATGGTCCTACACCAAAAATTCATACTGTTTTGAACAGATAACAAAATTTGCTATAAATCCATATAACTTTCCGTGTGATTTTGGAAAAATAAAATTTTCGCGAATTTTTAATTTTTTTATAAGGGGGTACCCCATGATTTTTTGCGAAAAATTAAAAATGAATAAATTGTCAAGGTTTAAATGCCAATCGTTAGGAAATTTAATAACGAGTTCCGAAAGGTATGACAATCCATACTTTGAATCAGTATTTACTTTGTTATAGCGAAAAAACGGGTTTTGGTTTTTTTTTGAAAATTTAGGATTTCAGTTTTTGACAAAAATGGAATTTTTTCTTTTGGTTTTTTTGCTGTAACTTATGCAAAAATGGTCCTACACCAAAAATTCATACTGTTTTGAACAGATAACAAAATTTGCTATAAATCCATATAACTTTCCGTGTGATTTTGGAAAAATAAAATTTTCGCGAATTTTTAATTTTTTTATAAGGGGGTACCCCATGATTTTTTGCGAAAAATTAAAAATGAATAAATTGTCAAGGTTTTGGTTTTTTTTTGGAAATTCGGGATTTCAGTTTTTGACAAAAATGGAATTTTTTCTTTTGGTTTTTTTGCTGTAACTTGGGCAAAAATGGTCCTACACCAAAAATACATACTGTTTTGAACAGATAACAAAATTTGCTATAAATCCATATAACTTTCCGTGTGATTTTGGAAAAATAAAATTTTCGCCAATTTTTAATTTTTTTATAAGGGGATACCCCATGATTTTTTGCGAAAAATTAAAAATTATTAAATTGTCAAGGTTTAAATGCTAATCGTTAGGAAATTTAATAACGAGTTCAGAAAGGTATGACAATCCATACTTTGAATCAGTATTTACTTTGCTATAGCGAAAAAACGGGTTTTGGTTTTTTTTTTGGAAATTCGGGATTTCAGTTTTTGACAAAAATGGAATTTTTTCTTTTTGTTTTTTTGCTGTAACTTGGGCAAAAATGGTCCTACACCAAAAATACATACTGGTTTGAACAGATAACAAAATTTGCTATAAATCCATATAACTTTCCGTGTGATTTTGGAAAAATAAAATTTTCGCCAATTTTTAATTTTTTTATAAGGGGGTACCCCATGATTTTTTGCGAAAAATTAAAAATTAATAAATTGTCAAGGTTTAAATGCCAATCGTTAGGAAATTTAATAACGAGTTCAGAAAGGTATGACAATCCATACTTTGAATCAGTATTTACTTTGTTATAGCGAAAAAACGGGTTTTGGTTTTTTTTTTGGAAATTCGGGATTTCAGTTTTTGACAAAAATGGAATTTTTTCTTTTGGTTTTTGATGAATATTTTCATTGTGTCGGCCAAATTACTGCTATTTTATTTAATTATTTTCCTTCTTTATACCCCAGAAAACATCCGTTCTGGTATTTTTCTTTCTCGTCACGAGTTGTCTACACACTTTGCTGTTTCCCGCTTTCTTGGTGGCCGAAGTTATGGTTTGGAATGCAGACATCATTGACATTGGTCTCTCCATCTGTGGTCTTCGTAAGTAAACTATATATATATTTTTTGTATTTTTAATAATTTTTTATCCATAGTTTTAGGCATTTACTTCTGGGTTGTGGCCTACGCTTTTTATCACCAGTGCAAGGAGGAGGTGGTCACCGATTTGACTCTCATAACCACCTTTCGAAAAAAGGGATCATTGGTATCAGTGGTTTAGCTTAATAATAAAATGACGTGTATAAAATAAATCTATTTTGAATAAAAATCTAAGAAGTCCCCCAGAAAAAGCTTTTAAAATTTAGCAGTTTACACACACATATATATTCTTGAATTGACTATCGAAAAAAAATAGACTTAGCTAAAGGATTTGCCCGTGTGACGCGTCGAAGCCTGATGATGGGGATAGGAGTGGGGATCAGAAACCCGCTAACCGGAGGACGCCGTGGTCGAAGGAGGAGGTCCGCAGCGACCGCCAGGTGGAGGACCCGATGGCCGAGGACCCGAAGGCGGAGTGCCACTGGGCGGAGGACCACAAGGACCACCCTGGGGATAGGCCATCTGGAGGGATAACAAATAATAAGTATTAATTACAAGTTAACCGGGAGAAACAAAACCACCCCTACTCACCGCAAAAGAGCTGCAGAGCAGCACCACGAGCAGACCGATGAAATATTTCAGGTTTAGATGCATCTTCTCGAAATGTCCAGATGTTAACTGTTGCCCATTCGAGTTTCGCTGGCCGCTTTTATAGGCCCCCCGATTAAATCAACCGAGCGTGTCAAATTGTCATTACGAAACCCCACGATCCACTCGCAATTAATACGAATTGAGTTTTTAGTTTTTTAGGTGTGAAATTGGGCGAAATTGTTTGCCATGTGCGATGGACGGTAATTAGGTTTAGATCCGCAAAACAATCAGACAATATTAAATCATTATAGATCAATTTCTGAATGGCCGCTAGATTTGCGCTCTCATAACTCCCGTAACGGTGCTCTTCATTAAATGATTGTAATTACAGCAGCCGACAGCTGCTACGTGGCGTATGAGCTATATTCGCCCCCTACTTTCGCGTAAGACAAAGCGGCGTATGCGTAATTTTCGCTTGGCTGGCTAAAAAGTTTTGTGCCGCGAGCGAAAAGTCGAAAGCCGGTCTGGAATTTCACACCTTATTGCCTCCGCATCTGGAGCGAAGGTCCTAAAACAATTAGCGATTGTTTCACCTTTCGCGCAGCAGGAGAGTTCTACACCAGAAAATATTCTAGCTTTTAATTGGGTTAAAATAAAACTAGAATTAAATTACTAATAAAATAAAATAAATCCAGAATTATTATAAAATACTAAATAAATATTATAATATAAAAAAGGTAATCTCTTTTAAGCCGAAATAACTTTTCACTACATCATCTCTGGAAAACCCTAAACCGATCCTTTCGTGGGCCTAATTGGCGCCGCCTGTTCAATGGTTTAGGTGTATCTCATCCATGGAGGTGGCTTAGAGCGATGGTTGAGAATTCAGGTGGCCCGGCAAAGTGGGTTCGCTTTGGTGCATTTTGGCTCGGATTGCATATTCATGTACGAGCCGCCACTTTGGTGGCCTGCCATGTTCATGTTCCGTCTGAGGCTTAAGCTCAGCTAGCCGGGTTTCGCTTTTGCATTTGCCTGTTGGCTTGTTGGCTTCTTGGTTGGCCGTAAAACTAAAATAATAGCCGCATAACATTTTATCTACCGCAGTAATAAATATTCAGTTAATTATAGTAACCAGCGAGGAGCGGCGAGAGCAGTCTTGTATGCAAATGTTTACAGTAATAAAACACCGAAAAACTTGCTGGCTATCTAATACCGAAAAATAGTTACAGGGCAAAACTAGTGAATCAGCAGGGGTTAAGTGGCGGCAACATTGTTTATTCTACTACCAGTTGGATAAGTCGAACTTGAACTCCATTTCGGCTCATCGGCGGGTTAAGTTCAGTGATGCGACCACTATGACGAGCAGGATAACCAGGGCGATTATTACGTAGAAGCAAATGCACATCGTTTCGATTCCAGTTTCAGGTGTGAGCTTCAGTTCGAAGTCGAGATTTAAAACGTGTATTGTACAGTTTTTCTGACTTAAAAAACACTAAAGCCCTATATTAATTGTCTATTCGTTTCCTTTGCTTAGCATGCGTTACTTTTTTGGCGCCCAACGTGGGGCTTTTCCTTTGGTCTAAGCTTGTATGTTTGGACCCTTGATTTTTAAAACTTGCATTTTCTTCAACGCAATGCATAATATGGTCTTAAATGGATTTTCTCTGCATTTCTGGCATATTTTTGTGCCCAATGTGGCACTTTCCCTTTCGTCTCCCCTCGTCTGCAAGACAGTTTATCTCTAGTCTGGAGTTCTCAGGGAAAACGTCTTCGGGGACGAGACCGCAAAATGGCCCCGCCCACTGAACGATCGCCCCCAAATCACCACAAGAAGGGGCCAAAGGACTCCTCTCTCTCGCTGTTGCTCGACCCTTTTTCGACGTGGCATAACCGTTAAAATTTGTGTTTTTGCGGCACTTGCAAGCACCCAACCACCCACTCACAATGGCAAATGGCATTGTTCCATTGTTGTTGCTGCTGGCCTGTATTCGGCGGTTATAATAATTAAAATGAGCAAAATAATTTCAGCTGAAAGCATCGATGAAAGGCTAAAATGCTCAATAAATGGCATGCCCCATTCCGTTGACAGCAGAGCGAACAGTAACTCAGCGCTTGTTTTAGCACCAATCCCCCCTTTGGGGGCAATTAAAGTGTGTCTATACAAAAAAGCGAGCGGGCCAAGAAAAAGTTGCCAAAAGTTTTCCCATCGATGACTTGCTGGCGGTGTGAAGACAAAGGGGTTAGGAGCTGCCATGTGATATCGATGCTGTGAATGGTGGACGGGGGATGGTGGAGGGAGGAGCCTGCCACCACAGTTGGCAATGCGTAAAAGTGTTAACCAAAAGCAGTTAAAATTACAAAAGGCAGAGTGCCATGGCAATGGCAGTCAGGCCACCGAAAAACCAGGGGCGGGGGGCTAATAAAATGGATGGGGGTGGAGACCCCCCAAATAAACGCCGAAGGGGGGCTGGCGTACAATGTCGTTGGCTCTTTGAAAAATTAACACCTAATATCCGCAAAATCGCATCAAAGTATTGTTCAAGTTGCCTTTGTTACGAAAACTTTGCAATTTCTTAAAAGTGTCGCTCAACCATGGCACCCACACCCACCCACTTTTCGGAACCCCCTCCCCCACTCCACCCATTTTGACCCCGCAGCTGTTTTCTGTTCTTAGTTGTAGGCGTTATTAGCAACACTTAAGACGCCGGCAATTGGGAATTGCTGGATTGGGGGGCACCGGTTTTTTCCATCGCCCCGAAACTCGAAACTCGAGACAAAGGAGCGAAAAGTGGTTGGGTGGCGAGAGAGTAATGTTGCCATATTTTAGCCTTTGTTTTGTTGTCGTGTAAATTGACACCGCAGCAATGAGTTAATAAGGCGATTTAGCTGGGCGGAATGGGTGTGCCTTCCAGGATAAACTGGCCGGCTTTTCTCTAACCCTTTCACAAATCAAACATTTTTTCCACCTCAATAATTCATTCAACTTAACCTGTTTGCTCATTACTTTCTTCAAGGTAATTTACACATGGTCACATATGAGTTACAAAACAAGGGGATGACACTTAAAGGATACCCTGTTTTAAAAAGGGAGGAAATATTTTATAAGGTATTAAATAAAATATATTATTGGCTTTAAATCAGTTAACCAATATTATATTCCATTCTATTTCTAGCATGAATAACTTTTTTGGCGCCCAACGTGGCGCTTTTTCTTTGATTGAAGCTATCCTACAGTCCTATCTCATCCACCCAGCCTCATCTACCCCATTGAATTCATAAATCCACACTTTGAAAGGCAATCTGGTCCAAATGGAAATGAAACCTGTTCGACAGCCATATCTTGTGTGCCCATAGATACTATATATGTTCTCTATAAAAGCGTTTATGTGGGCTGAAATATAAGGCACACACGCCAAACACCAAACACCACATATCGCATATATGCAGATGTGTGCGTTTTTTATACATATTTTTAATTATTTTCATTTCATGTCTTTTAATTAACATGCCTAATAAAACACATGCCCGAAAAAGCGAACCAATGGAGGGGTTGGTTGCTGCTGCTGGCTGCCAAAGCATAAAGCATAAAAAGATATTGTCAGTCAGTCAGTCATTCAGGCAGTTCAGTCAGTTCAGATGTATGCAAATACCATCCTAACATCCCTAACATGCGAGAGTTTCGAGAGTTTGGCTCTTGGAAGGAAGGCCTTTGAATCAACTGGCAACTGCCTACTGCTACTGCCTAAAAATCCCCAAATATAAATAATTAAAAAGAAAATGTTGCTGGCAAATCAAGCGAGCATAATTACGTGGCTGCATATCCATCCCAGCACAGAACACAGAACACCGTACACAGAACCACCCCCGTGGGCGGAAAAACTCTTTTGCGGTTTCTGGTTTTTTGCTTTGTTTGTTTCCAAATGCATAATGTTGATTATGGCAATAATTTTATGAATTTATGTAAACATTCCTCTCGCCGGAGCCGACTGATGGCGCCGGCAAAGCCAAGGTGGGCATTGCGATAAGAGCTGAGCCGACTCAGCCCTCGTGGCCCACTTAAGAAACCCACCTTCGTCTAGAAACCCCTTCGATGGACTGGAAGCCAAGACGCTCCAGGACTCTAATTACAGTGCATTCTTCTGCTTTAACACCCTGAATTAATATTCTGTTTTAAGGGGTTTATAAGGGAATAGTTTATTTCCAATATATTTAATATCGTATTTATTTTTACTTTAAATTTAAATTACTTTTAAATTTTAACATCAATTTATCAAACAGTGGGAATAGTTTATTTCCAATATATTTAATCTTTATCATATTTTGATTTTAATCAGTAAATTACTTAAATATTATTTTTAAATTTTTAGATTGATTTTACCAAACCCTGCATTTGTACATTTTCATTTCCTAGAATTCACTTAGGTTTTATGCCAGAATTTCATAGTTTGGGCTCCACTCCTCCTTTCGGCTCATTTAATTTACCGTTCAATTCCACATTCGTTTCGGTATTGAATTTTTAATCACGCACACGCCTGACCCCAAAGCTCACTGGACGACCAGGACACTGGACAATCGCAACTCGAAACTGGGAACTGGGAACTCGGAACAGGAGCAAAGCCTCCAATTCAATATGCAAGCCAAGCGGCTGAGACTCGAAAACTATGCACCCAACTACCCCAACTTCGGAAATATTTAACCCGAAACTTCTCACTGCAAGAAAAACTTGAAATTGTATTCAATTTGATATATGTCATAAGTGATTTTTGCGACTTTTCGTTTTTTTAGGGGATAATTTAGATAATTTCCATTAATTAGTTTTTAAGAAATAATATAATATAAAATATTATGATCTCAATATTCCAAATAATTTGTTTATTTATTATATGATGTAGATTTAACATAAGAAGAATGGGAAATTTAAAATAATTAGTCCAGTATTCTAGTTGAATTGATAAATTAAATCTATTTACAGTGCAGCCTCATTCTCGAACAGGTCAACTCGATTTGGTCAGCGTCCTTTCAAGTCCCCAACCCATTCCAACCCCTTCCCATTCCCTTCCCATCCCCCCGTTAATTTTGGAAGCCC